GCACGTCGCGAGCCGCCTGCGCACGCGGTGCCACAAGGCACTGAATCTAAGGCTCATGTCCAATCCGTGGCCGCGAATGTCAGGCGATGCACGTGCGAGGGCAGGCCCAGCTGCTACGACTTCGTGATGCGAGTCCCCGTCGTGCAGTGGCTCCCCTTCGTTGCTGGGCCCATCAGAGGCCCAACCCGACAATTCGGCGACCTCGGGCTCACCAAAAGACGCGAGCCCCCTCTCACCAGCGTCACTGCCGCTGGCCACCTCGTCACCCCAGGACGCGAGACACTCGCCTCCAGAAGCGCCGCCAGACACATCCATGCAACGCTTCGCTGCACAAAGGAAAAGAACACACAACACTGAACTCGTCATCTGCAGCAGAGCCTAAACAGCGACGGAAAATGCGTTTAACCATTCGGAACGATGGCCCCAAGCTGGCTTACAAGGCTCAAACCCAGAACGTGTCCAGCCTCGCACGGAAAATATATGGACAGGCTTTGCACGCCCCCCTCCCTACCCTCCTCACCTTCTCCCCTCATCCTCCTACCCTCTCCCACGTATATTGCACCACATTGCCTGCACCGTCCACGCGAACTGCTCCGCGTAGCCAGCGGACGTGGTTCGCTGCACGCAGATTACACCACATAGCAAACCCCCTCGGGCTACATTGCGGCTATGTCTTCCTGAGGTGCTGCGCATGGCCTACGAAACGGTTTGTAGTTGGGGGATATGTATGCGGGTATCTTACATGGGCTCCGCAAACGCACCGATACCTTGCGCAGGTATCATACTCGAAAATGTTGTGTTGCATGTATTTGGGTTTGTATCACGGATCGTATCTAACACCTGTCCCGCGACTATTTTTAAGAAATCCAACATGGGGGCCTCCTAGAGGGGCATGCATCTCATAAATCATCAGCATCATCAGCATCATCTCGTCATCATCATCATCATCATCATCATCATCATCATCAGCATCATCATCAGCATCATCATAATCAACGAAAGTATCATCATAATAATGATACTGGTTATCAGACTCATCCTCATCATCAGCATCATCATCACAATCATGTGCATCATCATCATCATAATCATCAACATCGTCATCATCAGTATCATCATCATCACCATTACCATCATAATCACCACCATCACCATCACAATCATCAGCATCAACAAAATAATCAACATCATCATCATCGTCGTCAGCATCATCATCCGGATCGTCATCCCCCCTCAATCTCATCATCATCATCATCATCATCATCATCATCACCATCATCGTCATCACCATCATCGTCAGCATCGTCATACTCCCCCATCACCGTCATCACCATCAGCAGAATTATCATCAACAGCATCAGCAGCATCAACACCATCATCACCAGAATCGTCAGCATCATCAACATCAGAAACAGCGTCATGGTCGTCATCATCAGCAGCATCATCCATCATCATCATCAGCATCATCGTCAGCAACATCATCAACATCATAGTCATCATCGTCATCCCCCCTTATCATCATCCTCATCTTCATCACCATCATCATCATCACCATCATAATCAGCATTGTCATCCTGCCCGTCGTCGTCATCACCATCAGCAAAAGTATCATCACCAGCATCAGCAGCATCAACACCATCATCACCATCATCGCCAGTATCTTCAACATCATAATCAGCATCATGGTCGTCATCATCAGCAGCATCATCCATCATCAGCAGCAGCATCATCATATGCATCATCACAACCACCATCATCATCATCATCACCACAACCACCATCATCATCAGCATAATCAGAATAAGCGAAATCACCAGCGTCATATCAGCATCATCAACACCATCATCAGCACCATCAGTAATGTCATCATCATCATCATCATCATCGATATCGCCATAGTCACCCTCATCATCAACATCATCACTAGTTCCATCATCAGCTGCCTCATCATCCGTCATCATCATCACCATCATCAGCACCATCATCGTCATCATCGTCATAGTCAGCGTCGTTGTCATCATCGCCGTCAGCATCATCATCACCACCACCAAATTCATCATCATCGTCGTTGTTACATCATCACCCGAATCATCACCATCATCACCATCGTCATCATCATCATCAGCAGCTTCATCACCATAACTATCATCGTCATCAGCAGCAGCATCGTCATCATCATCAGCATCATCAGACTCAACACCATTGTCATCATAAGCACCATCATCGTCACAATCATCAGCATCATCATAATAATCATCATCATATTCATTATCATCATCATCAGCATCATCATCAGATCGTCATCCCCCCTCATCATCGGCCTCATCATCATCGCCATCATCGTCATCACCATCATAATCAGCATCATCATCCTGCCCGTCACCGTCATCACCATCAGCAGAATTATCATCATCAGCATCAACATAATCAACACCATCATCACCGTCATCGTCAGCATCAGCAACATCACCATCAGTAGCATGGTCATCGTCATCAACAGCACCATCCATTATCATAATCATCATCATCATCATCATCATCATCATCATCAGCATCATTAGCATCATCATCATCATCATCATTATCGTCAGCATCATCATCAGCATCATCGTCATCGTAGTCATCCCGCCTTATCATCATCTTCATCTTCATCACCATCATCATCATCATCATCAACATAATCAGCATCGTCATTCTGCCCCTCACCGTCATCACCATCAGAATAATCATCATCATCAGCA